TCATGTTTCACTATTCAAATTGTGCCTCATTGTAAAAGTTGCTATATTCTTGATTATATTTCTACCCCTCCCCCGAGTCACATATAAAATTGAAAAAATTACATTTGTTTCATTAGCTACATGATTCAGACCATGGTCCTCATCTTTGTCGTCATATTTATCACAACGTTTCGGCTGTTGTACGCTCCGGCCTTCTTCAGGTGGTTGGAATGTCGAACTGTGCCCTTTATTTCGCTCACTGGGGTAGACTGTTCTAGTTCCACGTGCCATGTTTAATGGATGTCAGTTATCAGTTATCTCCTGTTAATTTCCCTCTAAAAGTTTTCCACTGCCTTAACCGGGTATTGAACTCACAACTTTGGGTCCTGTCCCTGCATCTAACTAACGTCTTTATCCACTGTGTCCTTGAGGACATCTGTGTATGAATTTCTGGGTATTATAAACCTAATGTCTTCAGCAATCATTTTTACTAGTGCACATATTGCAATTTTTGCTGTTATCACTACATGTTTTTACCAGAGCTCATATTGCGATTTTTGTTGTTATTATCGCTTTTCTCTGGCAGTCCTTATTACTGGTTCCCATAATGTTTTCATTTCTATGCTTGGTCGGCTCAGGAGATTTTTATGGCCTAGCATATGTGCTGATTCCTTAAGTTTACGAATTTTCCAATGGTGTTTTTTGTCTATGATCTCAACCTGATCCCACAGGGGATTGTGACCTCCCTTCTCTCTCCATATTTGGTCAGCCACGCCTGATTTTTCTACTTCCCCTCGTTACAGCTTTCTGGTGTTCTTGAAGACTTACCTGTCACCCCTTTTTATTTCTTTCTGCATCTGCACGGGATAACGTACACACAGATGCATTTGTTTCGTAATTGTGATACACCCGCTTATATTTTCTTTTAATTTCTTGTCTGCCACTCATGACCTTGTCTCGGGTTATATTTCCAACCACCTTTTACCATAATCAAAATTGCCCGTTTTACAAGTCTCATTTTAATTTTGGTTTGTTGTTATCTGCTTTTAAAATAATTTTTTACTCACCATTAATTTAACATCGCATAAGAAAGCATAATTTCAGTGCTGAAACATGAAAGCTATTGTGTAGTGATTTTTAATCTTTTTTGTTCTAATCTAATCTAATAAATAATATTAAGCTCTACTCCGTATTGAGCCATTTTCAAAAAAAATTAAATGACACAGGCAGTGAAGTTATACTCCATTTGTACTTATCCTATACCTAGATAAATATATGTATGTGTGTGTTTGTGCGCGCGCATGTTAGTTTGTCCGGAAAGAGAGAGGGGAGAGATAATATTAACTACGTTTGTGATTCACTCAAAAGCCAGAAAACAGAGTAATTATTGAATTTAAGCCTTCAAGGTAAGCACTCTTTTTAATTATAGTTCAGGATATCAGTAGATAGTGCATTAACAATGTAAAATAAAAATAAATGTTCACATATCTTTCCCTACTCTGAGTTTCACGAAAATTGAATCCAGTTGTCGTTCTTGATAGCGAAACTTATTTATTTGCCGAAATTGTTTCTCTCTTTAAATGACGTTGCATAATCTTTCTTAAAAATACATGAAAATATATTTGTCTTCTATGTGCCGTACCCTTTCCGGACGTTGGCGATCATAACTCTCCACTTTTTCCTTTCTTTTTTTATCTGTTAATAAATGCGGCCTTCTTCTTATCACATCATAACCTTGTTCTGTCATCTACTGTCGTTTACTCTAGTTCCTTGGGTAATCTGTGCGTTGTTTTCCTTTGTCGCACACGTCTTCAAAATGTCCTGTTAGTAACAAATTTTCTAAGCTCTCTTTCCTCGGTTTGCGCTCTAGAGGTTTCAGCTGCTTCTTCATGATGTTAGGTACAAATGTCCTTTCTGTTTCCGTTTTCTCTCGAACTTCGTCGTTGCTCACATGGTCGGTCCATGGTATTCTCACCAACCTTCTGTAGAACATTTCTGTTGCTTCAAAACGCTTCTTCTTCTCTGAGGACATTGTCCAGCATTCCCTGCCATATAGGATCACTGATATTGTGTAACAGTTCCATACTATTTACTTATTTTTTAACGAAAAGATTCTATTTCTTAATATTTTGGTGAGCTTTTGGAACGTATCTATCCCTATCCCAATGACCATTCGTCTCCTGTTAAAACAATTCCCAGGTATCGAAATTTTTGCACCTGTTAAATTAAAATTAAACTCTTCCTCATTGTAATGAGTCCCTTCAGGACTTGCAAAATCATGGATCTCCACAACTTTTTCAGCATCTTTCTGTAGAACGTCATTTCCGCAGATTCAATTCTCTTCTTCATCTCTGAAGTTAGTTCAGAATTCACTGCCATATAAGAGGACTGATATTACAATACAGACCAGTAATCAGTTCTTTTAACGATATTTTTCTGATTCGCTCGACTTCTGGAAGGCATCTTTCGCAATCTCAATGATATCGGGAGACGCATTAGGATTCCGAAAGAATCACTCTACGCCCTGTTAGTACGCTTCCCAAATATCTAAATAGTTTCACCTGATTGATTTCGGTATCTCCAATGTGTAATTTTCATGTTGGTCTGTTTCCCTTTTGCTAACAACCATGCATTCTGTCTTCTTGCAACTGATGTTTAGTCCTTTCCTCTCACTTTCCTTCAGTAACTTCTGTATGGATAATAGTAGTTTTCCTTTTGTGTCTTCTATATACCTTTAGCTACTTTCTCTCTTTTCATTTTTTTTTTATCTTGGGATTGCGAAAGAATCACTCTACTTCCTCTGGTATTAAGCTTTCCAAATATCTAAATTGTTCCACCTGATTGGTTTCGGTATCTTCAATGTGTAATTTTCATGTTGGTCTGTTTCCCTTTTGCTGACAACCATGCATTCTATCTCCTTGCAATTTATGCTTAGTCCTTTCTTCTTGCTTTCTTTTACTACCTTCTGTAGCAGTTCTTGTTGATTTCTTTGTGTGACTGCTATCTGCATATCTTATATTGTTAAGACTGCAGCCGCCAATAATGAATCCTGAGAGGACTTCTATTTATCTCAGAATGGCCTCGCTGAAAAGGTCTGATGAGAAGATATATCCTTACCTTCTACTCTTACTTTTGTGTATTTACTGAACGCATTTTCTATCTGTATGCTGGAGGGTTGCTGCCAGTATATATTCTGGATTATTCTAATATCTTTCGCACATATGTCAAGGTTACCTAGCATTTCCATCCAAAAGATCTTTGTGACATACTTTAGCCTTATTTAAAATATTGATCACACCAGATGTGATTAAGGTCTGTCTAGCTTAGCTGCAGTATAAACAACAAAGCAAGTGTTTATAATAGGGTTTGGTTAGCCGCCCAGACATATGGGTGTGCTCGGAAGCATTCATCTAGTCTTTTCTTTTAATCTTGTTAGTTGTCCCTCTTCATTTCCTTATTTATTTTTAGATTCTTTCTCTCCTTTCATTTTTTTTTCTTGGGATTGCGAAAGAATTGCTCTACGCCCTGTTAGTACGCTTCCCAAATATCTAAATAGTTTCACCTGATTGATTTCGATATCTCCAATGTGTAATTTTCATGTTGGTCTGTTTCACTTTTGCTAACAACCATGCATTCTGTCTTCTTGCAACTGATGTTTAGTCCTTTCCTCTCACTTTCCTTCAGTAACTTCTGTATGGATAATAGTAGTTTTCCTTTTGTGTCTTCTGTCTACCTTTAGCTACTTTCTCTCTTTTCATTTTTTTTTATCTTGGGATTGCGAAAGAATCACTCTACTTCCTCTGGTATTAAGCTTTCCAAATATCTAAATAGTTGCACCTAACTGATTTCGGTATCTCCAATGTGTAATTTTCATGTTGGTCTGTTTCCCTTTCCCCTCTTCCCTGCAATTTTCTTATGAGTATTAAATTTTCCAAGCCCTCTTTCCTTTGTTTTTTTTGTTTCTAACGATATTTTTCTGATTCTTAATATTCGCTTGATTTTTGGAAGGCCTCTTTCGCAATCCCAATGATATCAGGACACGCACTGAGATTCCGAAAGAATCACACTACCTCCTCTGTTATTACGCTTCCCAAATATCTAAATAGTTGCACCTAATTGATTTCAGTATCTCCAATGTGTAATTTGCATATTGTGCTGCCCCTTTTGCTAACTGTCTTTTGCATTCTGTCTTCTTATAGTTGCTGTTTAGTCCTTTCTTCTTGCTTTCCTTCAATAGCTTCTGTAGGGATACTTTTAGTTTCTCTTTTGTGTCTTCTATCAACACTGTGTCGTCTGCATATGTAATGTTAATACTGTGGCTACTAATAATGAATCCTGGTTGAACTTCTAATTCTCTCTGAATCACTTCACTGTTTAAGTTGAATAAGTCTGGCGAAAAGACAGATCATTGATTTACACTCCTGTTTTTATTTTTGTAATTTTTCTGAATTCATTTTCGATCCGTATGCAGGCGGTTTGCTGCCAGTATAGATTCTGGATTATTTTAATATCCCTCTCCAAATATTTCACGTTTACCTAGGAGTTCCAACGGTTCTTTGTATTGTACTTTGTCAAACGCTTTAGCATAATCTATAAAATAAAGATACATATCTTTCTGTATTTTCATTATTCCTTCTTATATCATTCTCAGTATAAATATTGCATTCCTTGTACCAGTGTCTTTAACAAACATGGACTGTTCTTGTCATATTCCTGGGTTAAGTTCTACTACGCGACCATTTCATCAGAATTCGAATGTTAAGTTTTCTTATATTGCTCATTTAGCTGATTCTCCGATGGAGTTCACATTCGTTAGCAGCTGGCTTCTTGAAGGTGAAAATGGATCTACTTCCGGTCGGTCACCACTGTCGTATATTTCGTTTATATTGTCTGTTATCTTGTCAATGTCGAAATCATCTAAGGCTGCCAGCATCTCTATTATAACTCGATCTGGTACTGCAGCTTTGTTTCTGTTCAAATTGGCTAGTGCTGATTTCAGATTTTAATATTTCTGGTCCTACGCTAAATTTAAACTTTTTTTTAAAGACGCTGTTACATAGATAGATAGATAGATAGATAGATAGATAGATAGATAGATGAAATGACACTATAATAGTTAAATAAAATTTGATAAATAGCATATAACACAATAAATTGTAATGCAAGAAACCTTTCCGGCCAATGGTGTCTGCCGATTTCCACGCGAAGACTTTCCAGTCAACAAAGTAGAAATCTTCGAATTAAAGAAGCGTTGAACGCAGTTCGAGTTCTAGGTACAGATTAGGCATGTGCTATTCAGAGAAGACTTAAAATGTAGTCACCTCCAAATGAACTCAATATGAAGAAGTCAAATGGAAGCCTCGCGAAAATGGACGCTCCGCCATTTTAATTTTAGGTTCCATTTTGCCGAAGGCGAAAACACGAATACTGGAAGAACGCAGACGACAAATTCCAGAAATACTATAATCTGCTTTTTCCTCTCTGTCTTTTCTTTTTCTTTAAGACTTCCAGACATAAAAATATTCATATAAATATATACGCATATCTATTTTCTTTGTCTTTCTTTCTCCTTTTTTTTTTCGTACGCATGCGCATATGCTCACTCTCGACTTTGAGATATGCTCTTTCTTCAAAATGAATCTTTATTCTTTTCAGTTTCTTATTTCCCTCTTAGCTTCTTCTTCTTCTTCTTCTTCTTCTTCTTCTTCTTATTATTATTATTATTATTATTATTATTCCAAATTTACTCCACTGCTAATGTACATTACTCGCGTATTTCTCTCTCCTGTCAAAGTTTTTCTCCCCCTCTCTCTTTCTTATTCGCATCTCTTCCACACAACGCCATTTCCCTTATCTACCTAACAACGTATATCGAATAACGTTAACTTCAAGATTTGTCTCTGTCTCTCAAATTCTCATCTTATCTCCTAATGTGTATTACTTTTCATTTCCTCCATTTTGAAATAATTATCTCTCAATCATTCGTTCTTTCATCTCTCTATTTGTATCTCTTACTCACTCTCTCACTCTTTTATTTCTTCTTCTTCCACTTCTTGTTTGCTTTCTTTATAGCCTCTCTTCCTCTTGTTCATCATCGATATTATTTGTTCATTTTTTTATTTATTTTCGACTTTCTCTTTTCTCATTAATTTTCCTTTTTTCTATTTTTGCATTTTTTTCCTTTTCTTTCGCGCTTTCTTGATTCTTCATTTTTTATTCCTTTCTTACTTTTTCTTTGTTTGTTTGAATTATTGCCTTGTTCAATCTTTCGTTTCTCTTCTCTGCTATATTTCTTTTTTCTTTCTTTCATGATTGAATGATTGATAGATTGTTTCTCTTAACCACTTTTTCTGAATTGTTTATTTTCTCCTCTTCTTTTTCTCTCCTTCTTTCTCTCCTTCTTTCTTTCTTTCTTTCTTTCTATCTTATTTATTTGTTTTCTATTCTTTCTTTTTTTTTCTGTGTTTTATCTTATTTATTTATTTTATTCTCTTGTCATTTTTCTCTTATTTCTCTCTTTCTTTTTTCTTTCTTATTTGTTTATTTTCCACTCTTTCTTCCTTTCTTTTTCTTCTCTTATCCTTTCTTTCCCTCTTTCTTTCTTTCTTTCTTTCTTTCTTTCTTATTTGTTTATTTTCCAATCATTCTTCCTTTCTCTTTTTTCTTCTCTTATCCTTTATTTCCCTCTTTTTTTTTTCTTTCTTTCTTTTTCTTTCTTTTTCTTTCTTTCTTTCTTTCTTTCTTTTTCTTCCTTTTTTTTTTTTTCCTCTTTTTTTCTTATTTTTTTTTTTTTTCTTTTTTTCTTATTTTTTTTTCCTTATTTCTTTTTTCCTTTCTTTCTTTCTTTCTGTTTTTCTTATCTCTTTATCTTCTTCTCTTCTTTTTTCGATTTTCTTATTTTTTCGTTTTTTTTTTTCTTTCTTTCTTTCTTTCTTTCTTTCTTTCTTTCTTATCTTTTCTTGAAGTTATATTTCTTGAATTATTACTAATTTTCTTTCTCCATTACACCGACCTTCTTTTATCGTCTTTTATTTTTCAATTCTCCTCTTTCTTTTCCCCCGCTTTCCTTCCCTCTCATACATCTTTACTTCCCCAAATTTTCAACTCCTACTTTCATTTATATTTGTTCTTTCTTTCTCCTCTTAAGTTTCTTAGCTAATTGATTCGATTACTGAAAATTTTGCGGCCAAATTAAACAAATGACCAAGTATATCAGGACATTTTGAAATCCATTTTTCTCAAGTTGAGAACCTTACAGCACTCATTTTTTTCTTTCTTCATTTAGTAATTGTGTTATTCTTTTTATCATTTATCATGTAAGATAAGTTTTTATTTTTAACTCTTAATTATTGTTCTTTCTCTCTCACATGAAGGCGCCATCTTTTAAATCAGACTGTTATTTCTTTTTAATCGTGATCTTTAATAATTGTTTTTTTTAATTTCTTATTCTCACTCTCCATCTTAAATTCTCTGTCTGTCTTTCTCAATTTCTCTTAGTTTTAAGCAACATTTTCTTGATTTTTGAATGCGCTAAACATCAATAGAATCAGGGTCCATCAGAAAATCCCGGATTAATTGTAAAAAATTAAAATAAAAATTAATTAAAAATCTAGTATTAATGATAAATTTCAAAAAGAAATTCATTATTAATTTGACAGTTATAAAAATATCGGAAATTAAATATACATTTATATATATATATATATATATATATATATATATATATATATATATATATATATATATATATATATATATATATATATATATATATATATATGGCATTCACTATAGTTATATAAAAAAAAAATATCTGATATAAATTATTGCTTTCTAAAAATCTGATATTAATTAAAGTTTTCAAACATTCTCTTAGATTGTATTTTTTTTAATATTTTCAGTTTTGTTATTTTAAAACTTTGTTGCTGTACCCAAAATTAATTTTATATATTGTTGGCCGTAACATTTTTTATGTATAAATGGGTTCGAGAATTTGAAGTTATTGTTTTTTTTCGTGGTGGAGCATAATTGTATTGTCGATTAATATTTCCCTAATTCGTGAATGTGAACAGGAATGTTCCTATAAATGCTGTACGATTGAACTAGAATCCTATATATGAAGTGAAATTCTTCTCGATAAGGTCGTTGCCGTAATGTTAACACATATATTTACTTTTTTGTCACAGATACAATCTCCCAAACGGAACTTAAATTGATATACAATGTTGGTATTTTACAAAACACTAGTTGACGGAGAAGAGATATTTTGGATGATTCAGCTGGTTGTAGTAAATTTAATGTAGTATATAAACAGTTTTTTTTTTGTTGTTGTTATTTACAAGTAATTAGGTATAGTATATGACTATAACAGCAGAGTGTTAAGTAGTTCAAGTGTCATGAATTCTACTTTATTTAACCTTAGTGGCAATCCCCAATTGTTCTATGTACAAGAAATAAATTTGCGTATATATGTGTGTATATGTTAAGTGTATATATATGTGCGTATAGTGTATAGTGTGTATAGTGTATATATATGTGTGTATAGGTTTAGTGTTTCTTACTATCTATAGGATAACGCGAAAACGCGTAATAAGGATCATAAGGATAGTGACAAAGATCGGAAAATGAACAAGAATCAAGCAGGAGAATCCCATCATGGCTGTCAGACTATTACTGCAACTATATCACCACCCATTATAACCGGCCACCTAGCTCACTTGATTATTATTTATGGGGTGAAATTGAGCCAGAGACCAACAAAACTCCTTGTAATACCAAAGATGAACTGAAGGCAAGGATTATAGCAGCATTAACCAACTTAAATGAAGAGACCGTCCAGAAGAGATGCAGGAGATTTCGAAGTCGTCTGGTTGAAGAAAATCGCGATTTTACTGAATAAATTTACTCTTTAGGATTTCAAGATATTTTTCGTAATTCTGGTAAATACATCTGTTAAAATATCACATCAGAGTTATTGTCATTTTTGCGTAATTTAGACGTCAATTTAGCCATCTCACTATATATATATATATATATATATATATATATATATATAAATAAAAGGAAGAACAGTAAGATATATAATCCGGTGTTCTTATAGGTGTTTTTATTTTTACAAAATAGTGTTCGATGTAAATTTACAGAGCATTAATATTATAAATTAATTGATTTAAAATATGTTTTTTTTCGCTACGCAGTTCTAACCATGTTTCAAAAATGGAAGCTAAAAGCCACGAATTTAATTTTGCAATTAAATTAAAGACATTACTTCCATTTCATCCTCAAGCGAATTTTGGACTAACTTTTAAAATTACTGGGTTTTAAAGTCACAGCTAAAATCACGTTTCCATGGTTACAGATAATTGCAAAATTAAATTTTTCGCTTGAAGATGGAACAGAGCTTAGTACTTTAATTTAATTTATATTGAAGTTTTCGGCCTCTGTTTTGAAACATGAGAACTCTTATGTAGCGATGGAATCATATTTTAAATAAACAATATATATATATATATATATATATATATATATATATATATATATATATACTGAATAAGTGTAAGATCTGATAATAAGTTCTATACATGAGGAGCATTTCGAAGCCAAACACTTCCAACCAGGTAACGTTTCCTGATTTAATGAATATTCTAGCTCTAGTTATCAACTGAGCGCTTTTCTGCAGAAGTTCTGCGATCAAGTAAAACATGTTCACATTTCTTTATTTGAACATATTCTTAGTTGTATTATCATTATTTATGCATATACTCATACATATATACATATATACATACATATATTCAAGTTTCATTTAAAGCGACGGAGAAGGTAAGTTTTTATTTAATTTTTCTTGTGTTCTTATAATTATCTTCTTTACTGGGAGCAAATTATGTAGAAACTGTCCAAATATTTTATGTTCGAGCGCTTTCAGCTATATTTTAGCCATTATCAATAATAGTTCATCTGTATGGTCCAAATTACAGAGAACTAATATTAATACGAATTCACATGTCCCTTAAGGAACTGTCTTCCTGATCAATCCAAATTCATGAATAATTATAATGTATATACTACTACATGCCCCCAAAAATATCAAGTTACATCTCTTGGACCAAATCTCAATTAGATCTCGTTTAAATAAACACGG